TTACAAGTTACAAAGAAACCTGCACTGTAAATATGCACCGTGTTTAAGATACTAAAATGTCCTTTAAAGCTTGGTTGCAAGGAATGAATCCACATGAAGATGGAGTTTCCAAGATAAAGGAACTTTATAATTTCATAGTATGATGTGTCTTGCGATGTCAAATCACTATCTGTATGCACCCAGAGTGAAGCTATCTATAAGCAGGGATGCCACCACCCCCAAACTTCCTACACACACACACACACACACACACACACACACACACACACACACACACACACACACACCTCTATCTCTCTTTTCCGATGCTTTCAATGTCTTGAAGAAAAATGAGTGTAATTTAGTTTGAGCTTACAAAGAATCAAACAAGACATCTTTCTCCATAACTCCAAATACATAAGATAACTAAGTGTTAGGTTTCCCATTTCATTAGTAAAATATGGAGCAGAGTGCACTGTCTAGAAGTGGAGCTTCCAGTCTTGCTAATGAGAGGCATGGCTAAGTTCATCGACAGTGCCTTGAACACATCCCCAGAGCGAGCCTCTAAAAAATGTCAGGAAGCACATTAAAACATGGAATGTTTTTAGAATATGTGTTCCAAATAGAAAATAAAATGTACAGGCATCCTTTTCCTGTATTGCATAGGAAATACACACAAGGGAATTTTGTGGTTGTGCAGCATGTGAATATCAGGTACTTTAGAGATCCCCAAACAATTCAGATAACAATTTGGTACAAGTTATGGCCATTGTCGTCTCTGTGAAATATTCCACAAAGAAACTTGCCCCCATTTAAAAGTAAAATTACTATAGCTTTTTTTTTTAAGTAGAGCAGAAGGATGGGATCTTTCTTAGGTTTGCCATTCACAAAAAAGCAATGCACAATTTTAGATTATGCAATTTGTAGATTCCAGTAGAGACTTTAAGGGAATTGGCATAGGCATAGGTTGTCTGGATTCCAACAAATTCAGCTGTTTTATCATGCATTGTCTTCAAGCATTAACTTATTAAAAATAGGTCATTCCCAGAGAAGATGACAGTTGCAAGTCTCCTCTGCTGTAGTTTGATCACACCTGTTCTATAATACACCCATTGTAGATGCGCCATGACAGTTAGAGTGAAGGTGATTGGCAACTCAGACATATCTACAGGAATGTGGTCAATGGATAGTCTTGAATCATGACAGTTGAGAAGTGGTTGAGAGAACGAGAGATTAAATCCTGGAGAAAAAAAAAAGACATGGGAACTTTGTCATAGTTGTCTAACAGCTGAAGCTTTTCATAAGTAAGAGAAATAATGCTTAGTCAGTGTTCTTCTATGGAACGTAAGTGAAGAATGAAATTCCTACAAAGTAGTAGACCTTGTGGCCACAGGAAATGAATCAAGTTAAAGCTGTTGAGTGGATAATTGCATTTGGAAGTTGGACTCCAGTAGTGCCTCCTAATTTTGGTGATTTTTAAAAAGAGCAATGTGTATTTTATCACTACTGTCATTTTAATATAAATTCTATGATCTGATACTACATATGTAATGAGCAAGTACCTTTTAAATGGATCTGTGATGGAAAATAAGTTTTGATAACTAAAACCCTGTATGTAGATATAAACAGCAAAGTAGAAGAATCTGAATATGATTTTTGTGGGGATTATACTCGAGATTTAGATTTTCAACCATAAATATACATTAACTATATTAATCCAAGTAGTTCCTAAATTTTTATCATACCTGCAGAAACTGATCTGTGTAAATTTCACATTCTTAGGAACTTTGCATACTCAATACATTTTTGAAGGGTTTATTATTTATTTTTATAGGCCAAGATAAGTAAAATAATTAAGATAGATCATCACTGGATTTGCTACCATACAGTAGAGCCTTGGAATCACATATTTGGAAATATGCACAAATAAATAAGCAATTAAAACTTATAAAAATAGTCACATTATTTTAGTGTCTTTAGATTTCTTTGGGTAAGATTTGGCCTTATTGGTTATTCAGTCTCAGTTCTCTGTTTTTTTGTTTTGCTTTGCTTTGCTTTTGACTCACCTTCTACAAAGAACAGATAGTAAAGCACCCATGTACTTGTGTTAAAATAAAAGTTTTTGTAGTTTATGCCACACATGGTAATTAACTAATATCCCTTAGCTGTCAAGCACTAGATACTAGCCATCCTCATTAAATCCATAAACACTCAGAGGGAATAGTTTAGAGAAAGTAAAGTCACATTTTTTGTGGTATAATTTGCACCTGAAGTTCTTCCATAGAAACCTATTAGACCCCAAAGTTATATTTTTAAAATGAAAGACATGTTTGGGATGGGAGTTAGAAGTGCTAGAGAAACAGCACAGAGAAATAATGTATTAGGAAAAGTTTCTGAGAGTTATTATGCAGGGGAGGAAACAAATTTGTTAAAAATGTTTGTATATCCAAACTAAAGTATCGCTATAAGTAATGTACTCTATCAATTTGATCTGCTCTGAAAATATACCTTACAAGTTAGTAACTTTTTCTATCACAAATAATACATTGACATGCTTGATCAGATCCAGATAAGTTAATGATAAAATAAAATCATTTACCCTTTAATTTTCCATTAAAATTAATTCCAGATATTTTTAAGTATATAAGTTGATTAATGTTAATTCTTTTCAGAATAAATGTTTTCTTGATTTAAGTTTATGGATTGTTTCTTTGTCTTCACCCACTTCTGTTCACTATGTCATGGGGTCAGAAACATATTTCTATGCATGTGGAATATAATATATGATAATAATAAATTTCCGGGACATTATAAATTAAGAAACACTTTAATAAGGAGAGGCAAGTAAATGTTCCCCATCACCATTCATTTTCAAATAAACAAACAAGTTTAAATTCCTTTCTGAAAGCTTTCTCTGTCATGTGACTGTGGGTTTTGAAATGTTTGCAATGTTTGAGTGTTGAGAAAAGCATCCAGGTTACATTAGAAGAGCTAGTTTGATGGAGTAATGACATTAACAGCCCTCTTGTTGGTTTGAGATACATAACCCAGGCATCATTTTGGCTGATATGAAATGTGTAAAGAGGAGTAAGCCAATAGTAAAACTACAGAGTTCACGGTGACTTAAGGATTAATCAAATATTCAAACAATTATATACATCTCCATGTAGGTACACCGGTCAACTCTGTATTTACATTTATAGTTACATAAAGACACAAGTTTAAAACAGATTTTTCAATACAGTCATATAAGGAACTCACTTTTGAACAACACAGAAGTATTTTGTTATTCAGTTAAGTATTTTTGTGAGATACACCACGGAAGTGTTAAAATCATTTGCATACATTCTCTTCCATGCTTTGGAAACAAATGTACCATCTTGTTTTGAATCTCAGAGTAACTTCTCTATCGGTGCGTGCTAGATTTATGAATACGTTTTTTTTTTAATTATTAACAGAACATAGGCTGTCATAGAGTGCTATTCAACTTGGGCTTTGTAAGAATACATCAGAAGCTACATGTAGAAGCCTGGGATATGCAAATTACAAGACATCCATATGTGTCAAAATCATTGATGATTCCATTTTTTTTATCATGACTTAAAGAAATCAAAGAAAGCCAGATATAGTGACATTACATACTTGGTGCCATGTTTAGTTTAAATGTGTTGTGAACAGGTTGTTAGGAGCAACATGCCTGGAGTGATGCACGTTCCTGTAATCCCGTACTTAGGTGGCTTACACAGGAGGACAGGGAGCTCCAGCCTCCCCTGGGCTACATGGCAAGTTCTAGGCACCTCTAGACTACACAGTGAGTCTCTCTTTCGGGAAGCAAAACAAAAGAGCACAAGCAAAAAAGAAAAAAGAAAAAGAAAGAAAAACAGGGCGCATAGCACATACATTTGTCATCTCCTAAGGGTGCCTCTCTTTGCCTTGCCATACCACGTGACAGTCTCAACTCTTCCTTTTCCCCGTTTCCACTTCTTGTGATTTTCTATGTGTCTCCCAGTCTTTTATTTTTTGTTGTTTAATTACCTTGCCCAGAATGATGAAGATACTTATTTATTTAAAATTCTTCTTTTTTAACATTCTACTTAGTGTTCCTTTTATCTGCTACTAACTTTGAAAAATTTGTGCATGACAGTTTTATTTTACTTAATTTTTTTTTTATATATTTAATAATATGAATGTTGAATTTGTTGGGTAAAAATCATACCTCTTTTTTGCATAGGTTATGTTTGGAGTGCTTTAATTATCCTCACATGACATCTTAACATTTGCAGGTTTTCACCTGTACTTCCATTGTTTGGTAATGGTTAATGTTTTAGAATTATAAGTTTGTTTTACATGTCACATGTCTGTTTTGAATTCCCCCATGTCATATATAAATAGTAGAATCAATGTTTCAAATATGCTTATTTCAGGTTCACAGAGGAATTTATTGAAGGAGAGATATAAGACACAAGAAGCAATGAAAGTGAAAATACTTTCTGAATGAATACAATTAAAAATATCATTTCAGACAAAATTGCATAAAAGTCAGCCATGGTTTCCAACAAAAACCGCTGTGCTGAGTCCAACTTCAGAACTGGAAAAAACACAGCTGTATCACTGTGTTGAGAAAGATGAAAATTATCTTTAAATTTAAGACCATGTTTTAAGCTCCTTCCCTAAACCATGATTAGGGAATAGAAGCCATGATTCATGACTAAATATCTCATATGCATCTTAAAATTGTGACTCTAACAAGAAAACCAAGAAATTTTCATTTTCTGAGAGTATTTTCTATGATTAAGTATGTGAGCTTTGATGGCCTATTATAGTAAACAAACTAAGAATTTTTCAGTGATTTTTTTTTTCCCCACTCAGTGTTTTGTAGACATGTTTTGAATGAAATTACAGATCTCCTAATAGGGTCAAATACTGAATAACTAGCCCAACTTTGTAAACCTAAGGAAAGAAAGTAAGAGTGCACAAGTGAGAATGTGTGAATGTAACATTTGCTGTTTTATATATTCCAGATCCAGAACAATTTGTGGGCAGGAAATGCAAGCGGTGGTTCCGTGGTTACTTCGTGCATGTTGCCACGTGACGCGTCCCCCTGCATGACGCCTTATTCTCACTCGCCTCGGACAGACTCCAGTTATGCGGGGTTTTCAAACCACCAGAATCAGTTCAGCCACGTGCCCCTCAACAATTTTTTCACTGACTCTCTTCTCACTGGCGCTACCAACGGACACGCGTTTGAAACAAAGCCCGAGTTTGAAAGGAGGTCTTCCAGTATCGCCGTTCTGAGAATGAAAGCCAAGGAGCACACCGCCAATATTTCATGGGCCATGTAACATACAGTACTCTTTTATTTTTCTTTTCATAGCAAAGTAAAACATTCTTATTTCTCATATTTAAAGGATACCACAATAAGCTGCTGTGTGTGGAAGGGCTAAAGGTCAAGATATACAGCGAGACCAGCTTACATGAATAGTTGTTATTATTTAACATTAAAAATCTAAGAATGGACCCCTGAAAGGACTAAATAGGTTTACCATGCACCAGCCTCCACAAACTCTGTTTTAGTAGTAAGTTTTTTTTTCCTATTGTACAAGTCAATGAAATATGGTCATGCAACTTCTTAAAGGAATAAATGTATTAAACAAATCCTTCTGTGATAGATTGATTTATGCTAGTTGTGGATAACAAGAAATCTCTTGTAAAATGATACCTGATAAACGAGGAAACACCCCGGGGGGAAAAAGGCAATATTGAACCAGGGAGCTTTGAGAGCTAACTCCATTTCCCCTTCTTTGGCTCCAAGACACAACGATCATATACTCTGTTGCTCAGAATTTATCTTCAGGTCTCAAGATTTTTTTTTAACCTTTCAATGTTTTAGTGAATTTCTACTCAGTGGGGTGGGGGGGATACTTTCTGAATGGATCAGTATTTGCATGAAATATCTGGGCACAGTTTCTTGCAACCATGTGGCAGAAGGTGACAAGTGAAATATTCTGGTGTGATTTAAAGTCCAGTCAACTGGACAGGTTTTATAAATGCAACTTTTAGGTGAAGAGGCCAGCATGAAGACTGAGGCTTAGTGGTTAAAACCAAGAAACATTAGCCAATGTGCTGTTGCTTTCATGCTAAAATCGCGTTGATTGAATCGCATACTCAGATATCCAGCCAATTCAGGAAAACTTTACAATCAAAGGAGCAACAGCTTGGAATTGATGTTTGTTTTGTGGGTGTGTGCATGCTCAAATGCATGCCTGTCTGGTTCTTGGCGCTCTGTGCCTTAAGCATTTTTGCCACTGTGTTTCGCATGGAGCATTGAGATGTCAGGAGGCTCTCCAAAATTTCTAGTTAAAAAAAAAAAAAAAAGGAAGAAGAAGAAAAATACATTGCATCTGGAAAATTGCTCACTTCTTTGATTTACTTCTCCCTCTCCCCTGTCACATTCCAAGCTCTTTCATAAGAGTGAAATGTCAGCCCCCTTGAAAGATTCTTAAGTTCATAAAGGCAGAGTCAATTAATTGAAGGGAAGATGACTTCCATGGCTCAGATCAGAGCAACATCTACTCTTTGTACTCTGTTAGGATCTTCATGTGGTTGCTGTGGACTTTAGCAATCTTCTGCAAAGCCCTAATTTGGGTAAAGAATAGGAATACATGGATTTTTTAAACATTAAATTTGATGAGAAGTGCTTTTTATCCACGAAGTGTCTTTTGTTGGTGGGAAAATATTTACAGCAGTTAGGCAGCTTTTGTAATAAAAGCTTAAGTCAGGCAGATGATGGAGATGAGTGATGTCCTAAACAAACATTCCTTGACTTCCTCATGACTCCATTCTTGATTGCTTTTGTGCCTTCTCTTTTTAGTTTTGCTCCCAAGAAAAACTTGTTCAACTTTGGCCCTGAGAATTATGCTCAAAAGCAGGAGCTTTGTTAAAGGATTGCTAGAAACAGCTGTGAAACATCTTTCATACTTCAGAAGAAAATGACTTACTTTAATATTCATGTGGCTCATTTGAATTTGTGAACTAAAATTTAAAGCTAGAAACTAAAAAAAAATTGTTGTTAAAGGTTTCATAAATTAGATAGTGATCATTTCATTTTCTTCTTTCATAATTTAGATTTTAGGGCTTCTTGGCTAATATATATATGATATTTTGCTTTTCATATATGTATAGATCATGTATTTGACTATATATCATATATACACACATATACCATACACACACAGACACACACACACACACACACACACACACACACACACATGAAAAGCAAAAGGCATGAAGTATGAGTTTCACACCAATTATTAATTTTACTTTTAAAAGTTTTTTCATAATATTGAGTAACTGGATTGAAATTTTGGGAACTCTGTTTTTTTT